GACCAGAACAAAAAAATTAACACCTGTGGAGGTTTAGAACACTCGTCTGAAAGTTATACATTTTAAAGTTTGCAACCCTGCCTCTAATAAATGACATGCAAAAACATGTTGTGAGGTCGACCTTATAGAACCGGTCCTAAGTAACAAGAGGGAAAACTCTAAAGAATAAATCCACTCACAGCTTGCTTTTTTTTGGCTCGCTTTTTTACCTCTTCCTCGGAGCTTTCCTGTAAACATACACAATTAGATTAGACATACACAGTTAGATTTGTCATACAAAATTATATTAGACATACACAATTAGATTAGACGTACACAATTAGATTGGACATACACAATTAGATAATACACAAACAATTAGATTATACATACACAATTAGATTAGATATAAACAATTAGATTAGATATATATTCAAATTGATTAGACATACATAATTAGACTAGACAAACACAGTTAGATTATACATGCACAATTAGATTAGTCATACATAATTAGAATTAAACATACACAGATAGATGGGACATACACAATTAGATTAGACATACATAATTAGAATTAAACATACACAAATAGATGGGACATACACAATTAGATTAGACATGCACAATTTGATTAGACATACACAATTAGATTAGACAAACAAAATTAGATTAGACATAAACAATTAGATTAGACATGCACAATTAGATTAGACATACACAATTAGATTAGACATACACAATTAGATTAGACATACACAATTAGATTAGACATGCACAATTAGATTAGACATGCACAATTAGATTGGACATATACATTTCATTCATTAACGTTTCACATAAAGTAGTTTAAACAATTAATTACATTTAAGTTAATCATATTAACATGTTTCATTGCATGTCTAGAAATGTCATAAATTGAAATTAAAAACTCCAACATGAGTTGTGCCCACCCTTCCAGCTCTAAAAAAAGATTTAATTTTTTTAAGCTTGGCTAGGGGTTAACAGATTTGCACAAAGTAGGAGCATCATAAGGAAAAAAAAAACACATCGTAAAATAATGTAAATAAGAGTATAACGACGTAATTTAAACCTAGTGAAGACACCGAATAAATTAAGTTTTATTCAAATCTTTATTTTTCTTTCATTTCCTGCTTCAGCCAGCGACCTTACAGCATGCCGTCCTCAACAACATTTTGGGTCATGCATTAAAAATGTCGTTATACTTTTCTCCCCTATCCCCTATGAAATTTCCCCAATCATCTTTGTTCTTAAAGGACATTTTCGCCATCCTTCAGCTAAAAAAAATATTTTTGGTTAATTACTTCCGTCCTAAATAACATATAACTAATCTCCTGTGTCCTAAATGCCATATAATTATTCCCTTAATCACTAATTATTGTTTAAACATAAAGAAATGATTACGGTAACTTTAAACATACGAGTGACTTACTTCAGATGAACTGAGGTCAGAATCATTCTGTTGAAAGTGATTAGATTTTCAATGAGCATTACATCCTAACAAAACATTTCAAGGTAGATGGGAAGTCTTTCAAATATAAAACCTAGTGCAATTCGTATATTGTTTAATTCTGATCTGTTTAAAAAAACTTAAAAGGCTCCCGTGAAATAAATCAATGCGGCTTGTGTTAAGAAAATCGAACTAATGACATGGTGTTTGATTCCAGAAAACTACGGGTACATTTTCAAGACCATAATATTGACCTCTCCTCGCCCTGGCATTCGAAACTGTAAAGAAGGGATATGGGAAGATTTTGGCGCATCAGCTAGCAGGACAGCGTCCCAGACTCTGAACAATTTCTCTGCAGTCACAACTTCACTTGGCATAACCTTTTATGACAATGTCAGATGACAATGTCAGGTGACCGTTTGCCCAAAATAATATTTTACGGTGAGCTCGAGCATGGTGGTATATTTGTTTGTGGTCAGAAGGAGCACTGTACATACAACCTCAAAGCCTCACCGAAAGTGGTGGACATAACAGTGGCACGAATGGGAAGAATCGGGCACTGATCGATCATTTTTGGCGTTACTTTTACACAAAGACTCAGTACAAATGAAGCCAACAGAACATCAGCTGCAGATCACAAAACACGTTCTAGAAAATTATTTCCCAATTCTGTATATGTAGACTTCTCACCATCCCTTGCACATGCTGCATCCACTTCGCCTGCTGCACTTACTGCGCATCACATCAATATTCTTTACTAGCACGAATGTGGGGATTCATATGGTCATGGTCGATTTCGACGGACGTACGAACACTACTCTATACAGATCTATACATGTCCTATTGAATATCTTAATGTGAGCCCCATGTATGTCCTTAATCATTTTATTCTTTGTGTACTCATTTATTTCATAATCTATATACTGATGCCGGGGCTGGCCCACTATGTTTAAGGAAGATCCATTTATAAACAGTATCGGCTGATATAACTGTTTGAGTCAAAGCAGTGTTGGAATGATTTTGCCCATGTGAACATGGACACACATTTTGTTAATACGGAATTTGCATAGACTACATTAAAAATCATTTTCTTTAAATCATTCACTCCCTCATAAAATTGTTTAATTTTATGAAAAAAATAGAAACACATTTCACTCGTTTCAAGAGACAAATGTAACAGTCTGACGTCAAACCCCTTGTCGTATAATGTGTCCTTTAACACAATATAACCGTGGTGCCTCCGTTTAATTTATACTCCATTTATGATCGCTAACCTTTCATACCTTTTATTTTATATCCTAATATAATGTTACATTAATTTCACGTTCTATCCTACAGAACTTTAAATAACTCTAACCTTGTTGTTCTTTCCTCTTCCTGCCACGCCTCTCTAGGGAGTTTAAAAAAAACAAAAAAACAACATCGAATTAACAAGTTTTAATGAACATGGAAACTCGCCTTCAAAAAATGTATCACTTTAAATATACCTGTCAGCGTTTGATCAGATAGATATGAACTTTTTTTTTTCATTTAATATAGTTATACATTTTATTGCACCGTTTGAGTCAAATTTTCTTCTTCTTCTATATCTTAAGGGCCCACGATCAATTTATTGATGATTTTGGCTCCTATGCATGTAGATGGGATTTGCAATGAAATCTATGATTTCAAGGCACACGGTAATTAATTAGCATTTCAGGTGAATCATTTACCTTGTCCCTCTTGTTTATGCTGTCCTCGGTTATCTGAGAGAAACAAAAATTTAATTAAACCGTTATAGGTGTGTATAGAAACATCAAAAGCAATATTTCATAACATCATTCTAAAGTCCCATTAATTCATATCCCTGAGCATGGAGGCTCTTAATGACCATTGGTTTTGTTCATAATCTCAGACAGATGGCCCGCCGCAGACACCGTCTGAAAGTAATCTTCTTTAATGCATAAACAATTGTTGACCTTACGAAATTTCTGGGATCGCGGGCGGTTCTCAAACTACATGTTAATAAGATCTATTGTATGAGGATATTAATCCTTGTACCCATTCTCTGTTGTCCTTGAATATACTAAAAAAAAATTTAAGCCTTAATTGCTTAGAAATATTTTTTGTTGACAAAATTAATTTTTTAAAATCATTAATTTATTCGTGAGATTTTTAATTTCTTTAATTGTTTTTTTCACATGTAATTAACCTTCAACTTAAAAAAATACTATAAAAAAGAATAACATAAATGCAAGCCTATTTGTTTTAATTATTTTTTAAAATCAGGTTATAAATTTTCTTCCATGTGTCAATATGAGCAAATGTGAGACTATCTGTGTTACACGGGGACTGACATTATATCCTTCTCTATGTCGTAGTTCACAAGTGGGTCACACATTATATTTAATAATGAACACCCGTTTGACCGAAGCCATGGGAATATGCACACACGTATCCAAAACACATTTTTAAATAATGAGTTCTTTAATGTATGACACAACTTGTAAATACGGTCATCTGTGTGGCTTTAATAATTCTATTATGACTTATACATATTGTGCGTCTAACGAAGATTGTTATGCATGTCTTAATGTAAGCACTCAGGCATACTGTACAATTCTTACTTTATCTCCTTCTACTTCGTCTTCTACATCTTTCTGTGGACACCGAAATATGGAATATTTTGTAAAATCCGCATTTTTTTTTTTATTATAATGGCTTCAACAGCTTGTATTCTAAATTTTGAAAAAATATAAATAATAACGATACAATTAACTTGACGTTCAAGAACACTATTATCATCCATGTCATTGATTTTTAATATACATTTTTGTTGTAAAAGAAATATTTATAAAAAAAGGTTTCTGTTTATATTTGTATTTCAATTCAATATAAATATTAAGCTGCAATTAAATTTTTATTCAAAATAAACATTCCTATGCTGATGGATTGTTCCCGGCTGGCTGTAAAATAAAATCAGAAACAAATAAACATATATCTTTATTTATCTAATTTGCAGCGATCGTCTTAAGAGATTTATTTCCCCGAACTCTTTACATTGTCATTAAAATGCTTTCTCATATTTGATAGAGATCACGTGATCTAAGTTTCACCCGTTATCAATTTCGATAGTTCTCAAATCTTGAACTTGAACCCTTACCTCAGCGGCATCATTTTGGTTTTTCTCCTAAAAAATAAAATAGAATACAAGATATGTAAATGAATCATCTCGTGAAAGGCTTCTTTGTAAATTAAACGACTTTCTTTCTCTTTTTTTAAAAATATTAACAATAAGTATAACAGATAATTACATGTACAACTACAATGTCTTTTTACGTGATGGCTAAGTAGAATTTTTGTGTAGGTCATGTACCATATAAAATCCTCTTGATGATTCATCGCCACATATTTCCGTGAAGGACCTACCATATAGCAGTTTATGAAGCCAACAATGTTTTTAGTTTAAAAAAAAAAAAATAGCCAATGTCATTTCGTTCTAAGTACAGCGTTAACGTGAATTGTTTTGGCTGTGTGTAGTTTTGTTGTCATGGTAACACAGTTCACTCACCTCTTTTCCTTTGCTGTTTAATTTTCCACTCTTAGCCTCGGCCACCTGAAAAGTCAACGAAATAACATCTTCAAAGTCTAATTGTTATCCCTCATTAAACTAAATAGAACTGTCATTTAAGTGACATTTAAATGAAAGGCTATGGCGAGCGTTGTGTAGAACTGATTTGTGGTTGACATGACACGAATTGAAATGTAACTATAGATGACAGGCAGTGCATAACATATTTTTGATAGACGATAGGGCACATAATGTGTCACAAGGAAAATAGTTTGCCTTTTTTGCATGAAGTGCCAACGTGAAATCGTCCTGGAATTTGAATGAAATGTGCCAAGAGAAGTAATCAAAATTTTAAATCATCTCTTTTTCCTTTTCTAACCGTTTCTTTTTTTTTTGCTTTTTTTTTTGCTCTCAATTTCATTCAGATTTTTTCTATAAATGTGTCTTAAATGACATTAAACATGACTTACATTACATGAAAGATATAAAAAGATCATACTCTTTCGTAAATATTCCAAACGCTATTAAATAAATCTTGGAGCATTCGCTTTTATACGTCATCATGGTGACAGTGCCTTTTGGCAAACTTTGTTTTTTAATATGTTTCATGTTATAGATCATACTGTATGTCCTACTAACGTGTCATATGTGTGACCTACTATTTTTCTGGTGTGTGACCTATTATCGTATGTCCTACTAACTTTTCAATTATAAGTCCTACTATTTCGACCATAAGTATTGCTTTATTTTATAATTTACTTACGTCATTGCCTGCTACATCGTCTTCTTCATCTCTCTAGTGACAAAATCAACATTATTTTGTTTTTATATATATATTAAAAAAATTACACATTCATAACATTAAAACGTATTTATTTCCATCAAACCACATCGACTTTTCTTGGAAATCTAATTTTAACTTGGAGTAAATTGTGAAATATTTCTCTAAACGTCAACAAAACTCTAACTATGGTCATATTTTTCTTAATATATTTTTTACAACTTTAATTACGCCGTTCATGTATATTTGAGCTAGTTTCCTATGGGCTAAAGATTGTGTTTTTTTTAAAAGTCAGATCCACACGGACAACATTCATGATAATCATGGGGATATGCGAAATGTTCATCCAATAATTTGTGTTGTTATTGTGTTTTTTTTTTTTTAAATATTTCTAATCATCCTTCGATTTGCTTTATATCTAACGAAAAGTGTCCATAAGTTTGGCTAGTTACCAAATATTTCATTTTATCTTGAGCAATGTGTACTAGCTGTCACAAATTAAATATAAACTAGTTATCACAAAATAATGGTATAAGTTAAGTATATGACAAGCTAAATTATTACTAAAACTCGAAAGAATCAATCTTTAAAAAATAAATATGTTATGAAAAATATCTGTGATAGTAAAATTAAAATATTTTCCAACAAAATCCACGCTGTTGTTCCAAATGCATTTTTATTTTCTCTGTGAAGAGCGAAAGACAATTTTCTTTTATATCTAAATAAAAAAATCAAATTAAATAACTCTGTCTCGAAAGTAAACGACACAAGTGAAATATTATTTTCCCAAAAGATAAGGGCCCAAAGTAAAGAATTTGGCCTCTAAAGACAAAGTCAGTGTCAGGTAATACAAAAAAATAGTTTGAAATATAAACGTTTTTTAAGTGACTTTGGTTCTTCTGAAGAAAACTGCGGACTTTTCTGGTAGCAGGAAGGAATAAAACATCCTTCTGTATGTTGTAATACACAAATGTGGCAGAATATATGTCATTATGCACATCTGTATGACCGATGGCATGGGAATATGAACATTTGACTGCATACTGACCATTTGTTTTATCATGCATGCTTAAATTTATAACACAACTAAACTATACGATAATGTGTGCGGCTTTAATAATTATGTTAGATCTTAAATTGTGTGAAGTGTTTTACGAAGGTCGTAGGGCATGTCTAAATGTCAGCACTCGGGCATATTTGACATAATCGACATCTACTTTGTCTTCTACACATCTCAGTGGTTACAAAATAAAGTAATAATGTGTAAAGAAAACAATATAATTGTATTATCTGTGCTTCATTTGCCTTCATTCTAAGCTTTGCAAGAATTACAACAACAAAAAATGTTATAATTAACATATTAGAGATCAAGAACATAATCATCATCTAAGTTGTTTCCTTTTTTTTTAAACAATAACTTTTTATTGTTGTTAAAAAAAAAATTACTTTGAGAAGCTATACTGTTATATTTATGTTGCAGTTCAATACTCATTTTATATTCAAACTGTGCATTCCTCATGCAATTGTCTTGTCCCCAGATTGCTTTAAAGTACAATCAAATATACAATTAACGGCGATTTATATTGAACTCATTCGGGGCGCGTATTTTAAGAGATTTATTTTCCGTCATGTTTATTTTGTGGTATTTTCCAATCGGATAGTTTTTTTTTTTAGATATCACGTGACGTCTGTTTTACACGTAATGTAATTCAATGGTTCTCAAATCTTATTCACTTACCTCAGCGGCGTCATTCCGGTTTTTCTTCTAAAAAAAAAAAAAAAAAATTTTTTTAGATATCACGTGACGTCTGTTTTACACGTAATGTAATTCAATGGTTCTCAAATCTTATTCACTTACCTCAGCGGCGTCATTCCGGTTTTTCTTCTAAAAAAAAAAAAAAAGAATTAAAAAACATTTAATTAATGATAAATGTAACTATCCTTTGAAAATTTGAACATTTTCATAATTTTTTGTTTGTTGTTGTTGTGATAAATAATTATAAGAATTAAATTACACGTACAATTACATTGGCGTTTTATGCAATTGGTAACTGGCATTTTTGTGTAAGTTGCGAACCAATAAAACCTATCTGACGATTCAACACCAAATATTTCTGTTAATGACTTGTCATACACCATATGATGCAGCAAGCAATATGTTTAGTTTTTTTGTTTTTTTTTTTAAATGGCGAATAATATTTTGTTGTAGGAATGAAGCCCATATGAACTGTTTCCGCTGTGCACGTTTTGGTTGTCATGGTTACACACTCCACTTACCCCTTTTCCTTTGCCGTTTCCCCTTCCTCTCTTTCTCTGGACCACCTGAAATATAGACTAAAATAAACGTTTTTTTTGAAATTATAGTGGCAGTTCCCAAATGACGACATACAAATACCCTCATGTTTACTTAACTTAACATTGTCATTAAATCGTGCAAATGAAAGGTTATGACAACTATTGTCTTGAAATGACTTGTGGATGACATGACACGAATTGAAATGTTGCTATAGATGGCAGGCAGTACATAAAATGTTGGTTTTGTTTTTTTTGCATTGTTGAAAGTGCATATACTATATCACAAATAAAAAAAAGAAATTGACATGAGATTGCAACTAGTAACAGCAATGGAATGTGAATGAATTGTGTCAAGAGAGGTAATCCTAAAATTAAATTAACTCATTTTTCCTTTCTACCCGTTCTTGGTCTCCCTTTTCCCTTGGAAGTGTCATGTAAATATGTAGTACATTACTTGAAAATTCTCTTACATTACATAAAAACATATAAAAAGATCATGCATTACGTCAAATCATATAAAAAGATCATAAATTCTATTAAACATTCCCCAGGACATAAAATACCTAAGGGGACAGATTTTTCTTGCCACATAGCCATTAAGTGTATGTCCTAATTTCTTTAATAACGCATATGTATTGGGCTGTGTTAACATGTAGTCAAGGGGGACAATTTATAACTACATGACACCCATCGTCTGGCCTAATCGGGGGTCACCCAATGTTCACAAACGCGATTCTCGATGCGAACCATACGTCTACATAACCATTGTATGTGCTTCTATTTTTACTAATATATGCCCTACCATTTCGTCATACCAAATCCAAATCATTACATTTTACTGTACTTACTTCATTTCCCGCTACGTCGTCTTCATCATTTCTCTGATGACAAAATTGTAATTATTTTGTTTAAACAAAATGTACGCATTGATAATATGGAAACGGATTTGTTTGGATCAAATCGTATTAACTTTGGTTTAAAAATCAAATTGTAATAGGGAGTGAAAACTCAAACAATTATTTCAACTACAAAAAATTATATTATGATGATCATTATTTATTTATTATTTTTTTTTAAAAGATTAATAACGCCGTTCATGTTCATTATACGATCCTTACTTTATCGTCCTCTACTTTGTCTTCTGCATCTCTCTGTGGATACACAACAATGGAATACTTTATAAAACACGCAATAGAATTGTATTATCTTGGCTTCCTTTGCCTGTATTCCAAACTTTTGAGAAAAAAATAATAAAGTTAAAATTCACTTCTTATGAATCTAGAGCACTATCATCATCTATTTTATCTCCTTGTTTTTAATAGATCTAGATTTTTTTTTGTCATTAAAATTATTTTTTTAATGACAAAAAAATATTTATCTTAAATTTCAGTTCAATTTAAATTTAAAAAAAAACTGAAATTTAATTTATATTCATTATTTACAAGTCCCATCCTATCAAACTGTTTCCACCTCGCTGTAAAGTAAAATAAAAGATAACAACTTTTTAAATTTAACTGATTTGCGGCAATAATCTTAAGAGATATATATTTTCCCCCTGTCTATATTGTCAGATGTAACTTTCCCGTATTTTTTTGTTAGAAATAATGTAATCTATGTTTTATACGTAATCTCTTTCAAAGGTTCTCAAATCATAAAGACGTACCTCAGCGGCATCAGTTCGGTTTTTCCTCTAAAATAAAATGAAATACGTTTTAATTAATGATAAATACAATTTCTTTTGTAAATTAAACAAACTTCATTAAAAAAAACTCCAATAATTATAAGAGATAACATTCACGTACTACTACAACGACATTTCATTTATTTGGTCATGCGATCGTACTTTAAGCTCACTATCAATAAGACCCTTCTGTTTATTCAACACCAAACATTTCTGTCACTTAAATATCTGATATCATATATAATGCAGCAAATAATGTTTTTTTTTTTTTTTAGTTCAATAAATCGAATTTTGCTTTCGTTCTAAGTATGGCGTCCATACAAATAGTTTCCGCTGGGCACAGTTTGGTTGTCATGGTAACCCGGTTCACTTACCCATTTTCCTTTGCCGTTCCATCTCCCTCTCCCTCTCTTACTCTTGGCCACCTGGAATATCAAGAAATAATTATCTTCTAAATCTAAACGTTTGACATTTTGTTAGAGGTGATAGAGACGATCTTTAAGGCGTACACATGAACGGCAATGACATGAACGGCTATGACATGAGCGGCTATGACATGAGCGGCTATGACAAGCACTGCTTTGAAATGACTAGTGGATGACGATCACAGAGATGACACGAAAAGAAAGTGAACATGACATGAGAGGCATTACATGACATTAGTGTTCTTGTTGATAGTGCACATAACATACCAATTGGAAAATAATGCTACATTAAAATGACAACCACTTGCTGTCATCTGCTTCATCTAATAGCAATGAATCATGCCAAGGGAGGAAATTCAAAATTTAAACGCCCTAACGGAATTTTACTTTTCTTACCGTTTTATTTGTCTCCCTTTGCTTCGGATTTCTATTGTTAAAATGTCTTAGATTCTATTAAACATATCTTACATTACATGAAACATATAAATAGACCATACATTACATTTAACATTCCTTAGGCTGTAAAATAAATCTTGGGGCAGACTTTCTTGTCTCGTAACATTTTAATGTATGTTTTAATATCTATAATAATGCATAACTGTATGAACTTCTATATGTTTTCATGTTAATAGCACCTTTTGGCAGACGTAATTTCATTTCGTTTTTACCTCTCAGTATAAACATATAAGTTACCATATATGCAAATAAATGTTACGTTATAGATAATACTGTATGTCCTACTATTGTTTTCTACCATATCTCCTACTATTGTATGTACGGTTTTTCCTATTTTTGTTTAAAAAGTGTTTCCTATTGTTGTATCTAATGTCCTGCTATTTCCTCCAATACATTTCAATCTGCACATTCAACAATACTTACATCATTTCCCTCTACATCGTCTTCATCTCTCTGAGGATAAAAAACGTGATTATTTTGTCCATAAAAATAAACACATCAATGACATTAACATGGATTTTCGACTATCAAATCTTATCTACACTTTAAAAAAAAAANTATATATATATAATTACTTCACAGAGCGTGAAATGTCAAATATTTCTCTTAATATTTAAAGAAAACAAAATTAATTTCAATAGTTTTTACAAATATTTTTTTTTAAATTTTATATAAATTAGACGTTAAAGTATATTTGAGTTAGTTTACTACTGGTTACATTTTATTGTCGTGGAATACCCACACAGACATTAACAACGGAGGGAAGGGGGAGGGCATTGATTAAAAACCAAAAAAAAATGACGTGAAGACCTTAGCTTAACAATAGTAAGCTTTGAAATATGTATGTATTAAATATTCGCCAACTTTCTTTTTGAACGCACTATGCTATAAAGTAAAACAAAGAAATTTGACGCAAAACTATGTCGTGTGAACTGAAAAAAAGAATCGACCAAATTTCCGTGAATCAATTTTCCGTCAACGAAATTTCATTCAAGTAAATTTACGATTTCGGATAGGTCAAATCATTTAACTTATGTTTCTAGCTGTAGCTACATAGGGTAAGTTCAGGGGATTTGTGGTCTAAAGCACATACTTTGTTAATCGCGTGTGGTGCAACTTTGGATTGTAACATTTTTATGTCAGTACTTGTCTGCGTTGGTTTTATCTCCTTCTTTTTTTATATATCTACGTATTACTGTTATAAGTAGGTGACTTTTGGTAAGGTAAGAAGGTGTTTGGTGGCCGAGTGGTTTGAACTGACTCAGCTGGTGGTCTGCAGCTTAATTCTCCCAGAAGTCAAGACAAGCATAAACACCCCAGGCACCCCGGGTGGATGGGACTCGTTCGCCTTGAACGGCAACTCATTTAAGAGAATTACAACTTTGAATTCAAACCAGGAGCCAGAATGACCGTGGGCCCTCAAATATAGCAAAATGATAAAATCAAATGTTCTTCAGTCTCGTAATCAAACGGTAGAGTTTTGCAAAAGTATGATCTCAAAATACACACACAGACAAAATTTATTGTATTTTATTTGTATTTGCATATGAAAATTTATTTCTATTTGAACTAAAACAATATCTATGTATTTGAAATAAAAAGTTCTATAATTTTTATATTTTTTAATTTTTTTTACTGCATAAAAACAGTGAAAAGTCTTATAATCATCTCACTCTTTTGACAAGAATGTGTATTGTCTTGAGATGGTATTAATGGTAATTTACAAACAATTCATCAACTTTCGTGTAACAATGTATTTTTAGAGTAAGCTTTCCAGTTAATTTTGAGCCTGTTAATGATCTGTACGGTCGTTCATAAGTTATTGGTAGATAACAAGTTAAAACTAGTGCCCCGTTAAGAAAAATCTGTGGTCAGAAAATGTTTCGTTCATAAAAAGACATATGATGGGTTGACAGACAGTTAATAATAAGATATACTATGGGTTTACAGACAGTTAATAATAAAACATACTTTTGGTTGACAGACAGTTAATAATGAGGCATACGATGGGTTGACAGACAGTTAATAATAAGACATACTATGGGTTGACAGACAGTTAATAATAAGACATACTATGGGTTAACAGACAGTTAAAAATAAGACATACTATGGGTTGACAGACAGTTAATAATTATACATGCTATGGGTTGACAGACAGTTAATAATAAGACATACTATGGGTTGACAGACAGTTAATAATAAGACATATTATGGGTTGACAGACAGTTAATAATAAGACATACTATTAGTTGACATATAGTTAATAATAAGACATGCTATTGGTTGACATACAGTTAATAATAAGACATACTATGGGTTGACATATAGTTAATAATAAGACATACTATGGGTTGACAGACAGTTAATAATAAAACATACTATTGGTTCACAGACAGTTAATAATAAGACATACGATGGGTTGACAGACAGTTAATAATAAGTCATACTATGGGTTGACAGACAGTTAATAATAAGACATACGATGGGTTGACAGACAGTAAATAATAAGACATACTATGGGTTGACAGACAGTTAATAATTATACATACTATGGGTTGACAGACAGTTAATAATAACACATACTATGGGTTGACAGACAGTTAATAATTAGACATACTATGGGTTGACAGACAGTTAATAATAAGACATACTATGGGTTGACAGACAGTTAATAATAAGACATATTATGGGTTGACAGACAGTTAATAATAAGACATACTATTAGTTGACATACAGTTAATAATAAGACATACTATGGGTTGACATACAGTTAATAATAAGACATACTATGGGTTGACAGACAGTTAATAATAAGACATACTATGGGTTGACAGACAGTTAATAATAAGACATACTATGGGTTGACATATAGTTAATAATAAGACATACTATGGGTTGACAGAAAGTTAATAATAAGACATACTATTGTTTGACAGACAGTTAATAATAAGACTGACAACACTTTTTGAATTAAAAAATGTCTCAACGTGACTCACCCTATCAGCTTTGCCATCAATTCCGTTAGCCTTGCCTGGTCTGCCTCTTCCTCTTCCTCTACCCTTGCCTTTGCCACATTTCCTTCCCTTTCCATGACCTTCATCGTCGCTGTCATTTTCTCCGTCATTTCCTTTGCCCTTTCCTCTTCCCTTTCCTCTGCCATATCCTCTACCTTTTCCTTCGCCCTTGCCATTATTACCTTTCCATTGCTGCAATTGAAAAATTGCATTTATTTTTCCGGGATCTACATTTGACCGAAATATGTGAGTTTAATTATACCCTACAAATCTATGAGAGCTTTACAACTTACCAAAATATGTTTTTTTTTTTGTTTTTTTTTATTTCATGAGATGGTTATATTATCAAGTTGAAATTTTCTAAGAGACCTCTAGTGAAGTCGAAAGAAAATACTTTAAGGGAGTTCTATAATGGTGCAAACGATTTTCTGATAGACATCTTTACTATCTACCATACCCTGTCTAAGGTAGTTCTATAATTGATGAAGAAAAAAATTATTTAAGTGAGATCTATAAAGATCCAAGAGAACTTAAAAAAAACAATTTAATGTTTTGAAAGAACATTTCTAAGAGAGTTTCATAATGATCTAACATACTTTTTATCATAATGTTCTATAATGGTGAAACACAGCATTTCTTAGAGTGTGCTAAACCGATCCAACATAACATTTCTATGGCATTACAATATAAAACCATTACAATTGTTTGATATAATATAGTTAACGTTGCTAAGAAAAAAATCTAGTATGAACAAGAAACCAGAACGCTAAAACCTAATTTCGCCTAAATTGTCAACTTGCCCCAATGGATCAAATCTTTAGCATTCATCCCCTTTAAAAAAAAATATAATCAATTTTGGGAGTGGGGCTGACAAGTTGACCAAATGTTTTGTCGTCGGCAACGAGCGCATGTGCCCAGTTTCAACTTGATACGATGGCGGGAAGTGGTTCAATTAGCCTTCCGAACATTTTACCCCAAAAAAGAAAGAATGAAAAAAAAAGAAACTTAGTCGATTAAAAAAAAAGTGTAATACTTTAAGGTGACTTGATGACATTTCGTGTAATAAATTAAGGCGTTCTGCATTAAATTAAAACGTTTTGTTAGAGAATTTTATTTGCACTTGTATTAATCTCAATACTCACCACCGTTCGCTGTGGAGGCCATTTGAAAAAAAAAAATAACAACATTATTAAGCTGCTCATTTAATTTTAATTAGTTCTTATTGTATAATTGTATCCCCAAATTTGCAAGTAATTTTAACCAAATCTCTCTATTTAGTTGTGTTATTTTCTTATTCAATATTTCCAATACATAGCTCTACATGCACACGTTTCTATTTGGAGAAAACACTGTTTTGATTATGATCCTGATTTGTGGAAAAGGAAAAAAAAAAGGGGGGGGGGGGGGGGCTGGTGCAGGTTAGGGACGTTAATAAATTGTTCAACAAAATTGATCTTTTTTGAAAAAAAATAAATAAAATTAATTTATAATGACCCAGCTAAAAAAATAAATAAATACCTTATCCTATGTTTTGGTTTGAATAATAAATTTAAAAAATTGATGAATAATAATAATAATAAAACTTACAAAGGAAAATAAAAAATATTTTTTTTAAAAGAAAAGAATTGAACTAGACTAAATGACCGAATTTCCTTTGTGACTGATGCACGTTTGTCTGTCCCTGTTAAGTATACCCTAAAATATATCTCGGACAGCCATAGACCACGTAACAATTAAATTACAATAATAAACTATCCTGCAAGCAGCACAATGATGCAAGGGAATCTTATTTTGATTTGTTTTTGTGAGTAAGATTTACGCGCGTCGATCAACAAAACGCGTGTTATCAAAACCTATAGACAATCTCTGATCTATCTTTGCTTCTGATGTGTCCTGCTTCCTCTTCAAAAATCCGCCCTTCCCGCAACTCCGTTTGTTTTATATCAAGCGTATTGAGTGAAACAAAACAAAAATGCTGTCACGCAGCTAACGTTACGAACTCAGGTTAATAGTTTCATTCATTTTTTTTTTTCTGTAAGGTGAGGCGGCTAATATCTTCATCAATTAAGAGCTAAAGATATAGTGTAGGACTGTTTGTAGGACTGTTTTTAGGACTATTTTGCAGGACTGTTTGTAAGGCAGGCAGGTAAAGGGTAGGACTTTATATAGACCTATTGTTTAAAAGTCGACGGGTAAGGTGTAGGACTGTCTAGTGGCCTATTGTTTAAAAGCCAAGAGGTAGGGTGTAGGACGGTCTATTGACTTAGTGTTTAAAGCCTGAACTATAAAGAACATGAGAAATAAACTTTTCTTTTTTTTTTTTTTTTTTGAAACACTAGTACATACTTGGAATTGTCTCTAAACACTCATACCCGGTGTTCAAATCTGCACCATGTTAAGCTCTAGTAAAATATATCGCTGTAAAAATTTTTGCTTGATTCTATATAACTAACTAAGAATTGCCTTACCTTTGTTACAAAATAAACTTTTTTTTTTTTTTTTTTTTTTTGAAACACTAGTACATACTTGGAATTGTCTCTAAACACTCATACCCGGTGTTCAAATCTGCACCATGTTAAGCTCTAGTAAAATATATCGCTGTAAAAATTGTTGCTTGATTCTATATAACTAACTAAGAATTGCCTTACCTTGGTGACGCTGTGGTTGTCACCCTCAGCCACGAGACTGCCGTCACTCTGATACAAGAGAGATAGCAACCAAAAAGTATCGCATTAGATCGTCTCACTCTTATTAAATTAACATAAACCAATGTGTTGTTGTTGCTTTCAACGCTTTGTATATTAATTAAAGTAATAGGACTTCTTTACCGGAGACATGAATAAAACAATTAAATGCATTATTTAAGCTATCCTCTATGTAAAGGATCTGAAATAACAAAAATTAACAAACGCTTTTCTTTTTCAAGACCGAGATGGCAACGCATGGGCATCAACAAGAAATATGTTTGTGATTTCTTATGTTCCATAATGTAACCAAAAAAAACCAAAAACATTATACATGTTAGTAATAGCACATACGCTACAGCTTTGAATTATTTAAGAAATGTTAGGACCGATGACACTAGCATTAAACGCAACAATACAAACATAACAATGAAAATATAGAGAATTTTAAAGAAAATTAGTAGGAGGTTTAAACTAGTTTACTTCAGTGCACCCGTGAAATAAATAGGAATGCACTTATTTAAAATGTAATATTAACTCCAATGACGTGGATCTATGCTAATAAAATTTAAATTTTATGTCGCCACATGTTAGAAAACAAGATATTATGCTGATGCTAAATTATCTGAAAACTACATAACAAATGTGTAATAAATTGTCTGGATACTATCTAAAATACCTATGTACTAGATTGTCTGGATACTATCTAACATATCTATGTACTATATTGTCTGGATACTATCTAACATATCTATGTACTAGATTGTATGGATACTATCTAACATATCTATGTACTACATTGTCTGGATACTATCTAACATATCTATGTACTAGATTGTATGTATACTATCTAACATAATATGTTATGTGACTCACCGTTGCGTTTCCTGCATCCGACGTAATGGCTGACTGTAAACATAAAGTACACATAAGTACACAAAATAAGTGCACTGCCTTTGGGCGAGTTCATTGGATAACAATTAAATTTCAAAAATTGTTTACTTGAAATGGCAATGAGATTATTATTTTTTTTTTTTATTTAAAAAAAATTAGTAAACCCTGAAACTGTTTTAACCTAATTTCTTTCGAGTACCTCAGTCTTTACAAAATGTATGTTGACATTGTATTCGAATCTACGAGATAAAAACAATGATATCGAAACTGTATGTTAACAAACGTTACGTATGTTTTGTATTTGAATCTACGGGATAAACATACTGTTATCGTTAATGAACATTCACTGATAATAGAGTTGTCATTTTGGGACCAGATTCATAATACAAATGACATCTCCAGGATCAGTTTGATGTTTTAATACATTGAGCAATTTGATTGCTGTAGTTGTTGTTGTTTTTTTTTACCCCAAATTTGAGTTACGCCATGTTGTTTTTCTTTAGTATCATAAATTTAAATGTCAAAATTTAGAATAATTAGTCAATTAAAACAATGAACTTTTATAACGTAAGCAACGTGGGCTCATCAAGACGTACAGATCTTAAATGATATCCATAATCGTCAAAGTATTTGTCCAGGTTTCAAAGCTAATCCAGGAGGCTGCTAACACTACCAACTCTGTGACGTGATCTGGTCATATCATCATCTAGTAATGACGACCAAACAGATGGTCTACTATCTACTGCAAAGCATGTGTTAACATGCTAATGTAGAGGTGAACACCGAATGGTCGGTCTACTGACCTGTTCATATGTTTTCAGGTAGTAGTGACCACCGAATTGTGGGTCTACTGACCGGTTCATATATGTTCATGCAGTAATGAACACCGATTTGTGGGTCTATTAAAGTATTGATAAATACCAATCAAGACATCACGAATAAAGTGTTTAACCAAATGCAATCTGTCAACTACGGGCGAAGGAGGGCGTGAATGGCCTGTATTTTGTCTCTATATATTGAAAGATAGTATTTCGGTCAAGAGTACTTGATGAGCAGCAACCATAGCTACGCAACCAACAACAATGGGCGGGAACCAAGCACAGCTAAGCAGGCAAAAAACACTGGGTTGGCACGAACCATTGCTACGCAGTCAACAACATTGGGTAGGAACTAACCATAGCTACAAAGCCACCAACATTTGGCTGGCAATAACCCTAGCTACAAAGCTAACAACAGTGTGTGGGACATAATCCTAGCTATGGAGCCAACACATTTAGGCGGGAACCCATCCTAGCTACGCAACTAACATTGGGTGGTAAATTAACCAAGATATTAAACATTATCAACAGATGGTGCGCACTACCACTAGCTACCCAGCTTCTATGAACTAATTTACTCAACCAAGGAGTAACTTTAAAAGATCACGTGACATTGATCTAGGCACAACATAAGATCGCCGTATGAGACCTCTCTGTCAATAGAACTTTTTTAAAACTTTATTTTGCTGGCATCCGACCGTCACAATGTGACGATGGTGTGGAGATAGCCGGACGAAATCTGGGATTATTCTTTGAGGATCAAATCTGGTTCCCAAGAGCAAATCGCCTCTTTCCACGCTGCTGGATAACCCAAGGGAACATCGTGTGGATGATACAGCTTAGTACAATTGACGTCGCACGTGTTGTCAGAATGTTTCATTGAACCAATTTTATCCACCTACGGGACTCCATCTCCGGGTTTTTAATTAATAATAATAATAATAATAAAGTTCATTTCAAAAACACGCTTCACCCCCAAAGGTTCAAATCGCGGTTCAAAGTCAACAAAACAAATCTATAATTTACCACATTTAAAAAAAACGCAACACTACAAAAACTAATTACAAGCATTACAATGGCAAAGTCTTTCTAGCCATTTCAGCCCTAAGCAACACAGCCTTTATGAATTAACTGGAAAATAAGGTAGACACTCATCCCAGAAGCTTTTTGCGAAATAGATGTGTCTTTAATTCAGAATTTCCTTCTCTTAGATGAGTTGCCATCCAGGGTTAACGAGCCTCATCTACTATTACAAAAAAATGTTACCAGCAACAATATAATAGAGATAATTACCCCGTTCAATGTGGTCGTTCCATTGCTTGATTCAGTGGCGTTTGACTGTGGCAAATAAATATAAAAACAAATATATACAATTTAAATTGGAAGAATAAAGCTTTTTTTTTGTTTTATTTTATAAAAAAACAAATTATGAAAAGAAAAGAAAAGTATTTTACCAAAACTTAAAAAAAAAAAAAAAAAAAAAAAAAAATAAATATAAAAAAAAAAATATACAATTTAAATTGGAAAAATAAAACTTTTTTTTTGTTTTATTTTAAAAAAAAAAAAAATATGAAAAGAAAAAAAAAGTATTTTACCAAAACTTAAAAAAAAAAAAAAAAAAGACAAGCCCTAACATTTAGCTGAGTACCAAAACTAACATTTAGCTGAGTACCAAAACGAACATTTAGCTGAGTACCAAAACTAACATTTAGCTGAGTACCAAAACTAACATTTAGATTGTTTTAAATTACCGCTCGCAACTCTGCAGTCTGCCAAATTAAATCCCCACCAAAAATTCCGGTAGGTGGTCAAAATTGCCGTCAACATTCAAGTCAAGAATTTTAATCAAACAAAAACGACGTTTAGATTGTTTTGGGATGTAAGGGGGTGGGGCAGATGGTTTAACCAACAAGCCCTGTTTACATTAAAGCAGTTTAAACAACAGAGCATTATCGGCATCAAAGATGGTCGGAACATCTTCCCAAAAGAAGATACATTACGAGACTTGTGAGATTCAAGAAATATATCCACTTGTTTTTGGTCTACCTAGATTTTACTAATATTTACGACTTGAATAGCCTCTAAAATCTATTTTAATAGCATATATAATCCCGTTGTCTGAGTCTGTATGTCAAACATTTATTCTTTATAAAAATGGAATCTTTGAGAAATTCTCTGTTAAAATATTGAATATTTTACGTTACAAATAATTTTTATGAAATTTGTTTTTGTTTGTTTTGAAGAATGCCGTCTTTCTCAGGATTCCAGTGACCGCTAAACAAAGTATTATTTACAATTCTAGACTTTTGATATTGTAAGAACTTGTCCTTTTCTTGGTCCGGCCTACACTGAAATGTCTTGACGAGGAACCTCCCAAACGGCTTTTTCCCTGATATATTGTATTCTATGCTAGATTCCTTTAATACATGCTGTAAGACAAAAGAACTACACCACTTAATACATGTTGTAAGACAGAATACCTACCAGAAATTGGCTATCCATAACTATTGGGGTTTCATCGATCTGCAAAATGAAAATATAATTGCATGTTGGAGCTGTTGGTGCACGTTGAGGTTTATATCAATAACTGAGTGTAGAGTAAAGCTTGTTTGGGAATGTAGCTATGGGAGGACCTCTGATGGAAATTTAAAATGCCCTTTGCTGGAGAAAAAAGAACAGAATAACCCTAGGTGGGATAGAGAATGCCTTACGACGAGAAATAAAATACCCCATTGTGAAAAGTAGAGCACATCTCTTGGTGTGATAATCAACCTTGAGTAGCTAAGTCACCACTAACTGTTGTACAAGTTACCTACCGCTACTGAAGTTTTCGAAAATCTGGTGGGGTTCTGGAAGAGAATATAACACAGCTTTTTGTTTTATAATTGCTTCAACTATGAATTTCATGCATTGGAAAGATCATTTGAAATAGCTTTTAAATTTATCGAATTCTCAGTATATATATAGATAGATATATGTAGATAGATATATATAGATTTATATACATATATATATTATTCGGATGTATTATAAACTTATTTCTAAATGTTATAATCTTATTGAGGTAAGTTTTTAAAAAATTTTGTTCAATCAATTAGTTGTTTATTTCTTGACACAAACGGTTGACGAAGACAATGAATTCGTTGCGTATCATAGAAAATGTAACTCTTATTTTCGGTCACATTGGAACAATCGGGTATTTTCTCAAAATACCCTTAGCTGGTGTCAACAAATGCTCCCAGTTAAGACTAAGACGATGTATATTACTTACTACTTGTGAGAGTTTAAGACTAAGACTATGTATATTACTTACTACTTGTGAGAGTTTAAGACTAAGACTATATATATTACTTACTACTTGTAAGAGTTTAAAAGAAAGAAAAAGCTCTTTCGGATAAACGCAATGCACATTCCAGCATACACATTAAAACTTTTCGAATAACACACACACATACATACATATATATATAGTTATTTATTTGTATGTTTGTCTAACAACTTACAGCTGAAGCTATCTCAAAGACACCGACCACCAGGACGGTGACGGCTGCAACCAGTGCACAGTTTAACGACATCTTTGTTTCGCTGTTGAAAATGGACAGAATACGATGTCATCCTTGTCAACAAATAAGTCATCTTCTTTTTAAAACGATTAAACAAATAACTTAAGCATTTGTAAAAAAAAAAATGTCTACTGTGAGTTTAATTGTCGGTATCATTTATTTAGAGTTGATAGTTTGAACATAAAAATTAGCAACTCAAAATGTGCAACAAATATTGAAGTGAAACAAAATGAACCGGAACGAGATATATATGTAAATAATATGTAAGGCCTATTGAAACTTATGATAGCATACAAATAAGGACACAGGAAATGAAGAGCTCTGAAACAATATGGATATAAAGTGATGCCTATAAAACTATGACAATGCAACAAGAAAGCGTATTAAATAATAAAACCGACAACGTTAAAGAGACATACACATGGCAACTAATTATATAGAACCATTTTATAACTCTATGAAATGAAAAATAAACATAATTATTCTTTTTCTAAATGATATAAAAGCTTATGAGGAAATGGAAAATTTAACCAGATGCAAACAATGCAATGCAACTATAAAGTAACATACAGCCACAAGGTAATAGCTATATAAAGGCAGTGACGACATACGAACATACAACAAAGTTTTTTTTACCTCGTGTAGGGCCTAGAGATGTCAAGATTTGAACCCAATTCGACTCTCTGTACTGTGGCTCCAGGGATTGAGGAGTGACTTGGCCCCCCAGAACAAGCTCGCTTTTAAACAGTTCGCTTCCTGTGACGTGCCCCATTTACAGACTCTCACCTGTAATTTTGTGGGGGGTCTAATTTCCACCACTCAAGACAATATCCTGTACAGTCCTGGCATCGGGTTACCTGCCTCGTGCACACGGGGGACATACCTGAAGGTATCATCACCTTAATGGCCGTGCATGTCCTGTAATACAGCGCCTTGTCATACGGGTTGGTCAATGGCTTAATTATAGAGATGTTTTTTTTAAAAACAAATTATAGGATAATCTTCTTGTAATCTATCGGCAGTTACCTATTAGGAAGAAACAATTTTAGAGTTTCTTTAAATATGTTATTGTAATGGAGTTAATGGTACTCTTGAAATAGTTCCCATTAGCGTCTTAAAAATAAGACTTACACAATTTATGTTGTCCCTAAAATCAGTATGTAAATATGTTTGAATAAAATGTAAATTTCTTACTTATTGTGTAAATCTATCTGTATTTTAACAAAATATTTATAAATGTCTTAGTTTTAAATAAAATATTTTTGTGTGGACTTTCAAAAAAATCAATATGCAAAAATGTTCACATTAAATGTGAACCTATTTAATTATAGTTTGAATAGATCAGATTTAATAAAAAACACCGAATAGTTGCTTTTCGACAAAGTTTTATCTTTTTTGTACATTTGTTTATGTGACTCTTCATCTATTTGTGTGACTCTTCATCTATTTGTGTGACACTTCATTTGTTTGTGTGAGTTTAAATTTGTTTGTGTGACTCTACAACTATTTGTGTGACTCTTCATTTGTTTGTGTGACTCGTCAACTATTTGTGTGACTCTTCATTTGTTTGTGTGACTCTACATTTGTTTTGTGACTCTTCAACTGTTTGTGTGACTCTTCATTCGTTTGTGTGACTCTGCAACTATGTTTGTGACTCTTCATTTGTTTGTGTGACTTTACATTTATTTGTGTGACTCTTCAACTATTTGTGTGACTCTTCATTTGATTGTGTGACTCTACATTTGTTTGTGTGACTCTACATTTGCTTGTGTGACTCTATATTTGTTTGTGTGACCCTACATTTGTTTGTGTGACTTTAAATTTGTTTGTTTGACTCTACATCTGTTTGTGTGACTCTACATTTGCTTGTGTGACGAGTGCATCTTTTTGTTTGATGTGTAAATATGTTTGTATAAGGCCACAGACATTTTTGCTTTAAACTAACAGTCAGTGAGTTAATTCTGCTTCGACCCCAATGACCTACATGAGACCCAGTTTACCTGGCTCCATCAACGTCACGATAATCATGAGGTTGGAGTGGGGAACACAAATAAACACGCACAGACAAACATACATTTGAGGTTATTATCAAACGTAATCTTATTTGACACAGAATGAAGCAACATAATATTTTTAAAAAAAATATATTTACAATAATTTTTTTTAGTCGCAACATGATATAAGAAATCAAATTAATATGCGTTATTGTGCTTAGCGACTGAAGCTGATCTATTCAATAACTTTAGTAACTATTCTAGATACTTTCTGATTTCAGCCCTTCACCCGATGATTGATTCAAGTGCTTGATAAGACAAATAAACTAGATAAGATAAATAAATAAAATATAGCAATGCCGCTGGCATATTGTCATTAGACCTTGAGCCCGATAGCAGAGCTAGAAATGGTGCGTGATGAGTTGGATGATTGGATTTTACCTGAAATTTTAATAATAAATAAATATAAAGTTCTCTTGATCTTGATTGGTTTAAATTTGGTAAAATACATGTTCCATCTTTGCTCTTTTTTTTTTTTTTTTTTTTTTTTTTTTTTTTTTTTTTTTTTTGTATTTTGCTTCCTTATGAGGAACTTGAACAGACTATTAGAAGTATCGCATGGCAGAGGCAGCCCAAGTCAGTCAGAGACAACCAAGAATAGTATGAGACAGCCCAAGACAAAGATAGTCCGACACAGTGATAGCCCAAGACAGAGATAGCCCAAAACAGATATAAACCAAGATAGAGATAGCCTAAGACAGACACAGCCCAAGACAGAGATATCACTATATAAAATAGCCAAAGACAGATAAAACTCAAAACAGAGATAGACCGAGACAGAGACAGAGATAGTTCATTGACTCAAAGACAGCCCAAATTAGTATATAAATCAATGAAGGTGACATTCTTAGAAAATAAGAGACAGCATGGGACCATCAGACATATCCCAAGGCCGAAGACAATCTGATATATGAAGCCATAGACAGCATAAGATGGTCAAGAACACCCTTAGCTGGCAAGAAACAGGCCAGGCCGGTCAGAGACAGCTCTTGACTATTAGTGACAGCACAAGATGAATTAGAAAAAAATAATAAGATAGATAAGATCATTTTATTGATCCAAACAAATGGAAATGTTTTATGATTTTTATGATTATTCAACATATAAATAAAACAATTTGAACACAAGACATTTATAGAAAAATTAAAAATAACAGCAATTTAGTGAGTTCTGTGAGCCGTGTCAGCAATGATAAAAAAGATTTCATTAGCTGCAGTTACAATTATTTGAACTTAATCAGAAAAATAAATATTTTCTTACTCAAATTATGTTGAAATAAATATTTTTTTAAAAGATATAAATGTGCAGTTATCAATAGAAATGCAGCTCTATATGTGCAGTAATCAAAAGTATTGTAGCTCTATATATGCAGTAATGAAATTTAATGTAGGTATATATGCAGTAGTCAAAAGTAATGTAGATATATATTTATACTAATCAAAAGTAATTTAGCTCTCTATGTGCAGTAATCAAAGGTAATGTAGATTTCTATGTGCACTAATCAAAAGTAATGTAGCTCTCTATATGCAGTAATCAAAGGTAATGTAGATTTATATGTGCAGTAATCAAAAGTAAAAGATATAAATATGTGCATTTGTTAAAATTAATATATTTCTATATTTACAGTAAGAAAAAGTGCTTAACTTCTAAATATTCAGTAATAAAAAGTACTAGGGTTCTATATGGGCGTTTATAAAGAGTAATATAGTTCTTTATGTGCGGTAATAAAAAGTACTTTAGCTCTATATATAGTAATGTAGATATATATTTATAGTAATTAAAGGTAATGTAGCTCTATATGCGCAATAATCAAAAGTAATTGATATCTATGTGTTCATTATTAAAATTAAAATATTTCTATATTTACAATACGAAAAGGTGCATTACTTCTAAACGTGCAGTAATAAAAAGTACCTTATTTCTATGTGTGCATTTATAAAAAGGAATTTAGCTCTAAATATGCAATAATAAAAAGTACTACAGTTCTAAATGTGCAGTAATAAAAAAAGTACTTTAGTTCTATATGTCCAGTAATAAAAATGCTATATTTCTAAATATGCAATAATAAAATGTACTAGAGTTCTATTTGGGAGTATTAATAAAGTATTTTAGCTCTATATGTGCAATAATGAAAAAGTAATATAGCTTTGTATTTGCAGTAGTACAAATAGTACTATAGTTCTATATGTGCAGTAATAATAATGTGTTATACCTTAATATGTGCAATAATAA